ATGTTCGTGCTGCATGACGGCATCCTCTACCGCCGCAACGTCACCACTGAAGGCCCTGAGCTTCTGCTTGTCATCCCTCGTCATCTACGGCCTGCCATACTTCAACAACTTCACGACGCACCAACAGCGGGACACCTCGGCGTTTCCCGCACATACGACCGCGTGCGACGTCGATTTTTCTGGCCTGGATTGTACCGCAGCGTACGTCGATATGTCGCCACTTGCGACCTCTGCCAGCGCCGGAAAAGACCTTCTTTGCTGCCAGCTGGATATCTTCACCCAATTGAAGTCCCCTCTGAACCATTTCATCGCGTGGGACTCGACCTTCTTGGCCCTTTTCCGACGACGACACTAGGAAATAAATGGATTGCCGTCGCCACAGATTATGCGACCCGTTACGCGATAACAAAGGCCATGCCAACCAGTTGCGCCACTGACGTCGCGGATTTTCTTCTTCATGACGTCATCTTACACCATGGTGCACCCCGACAGCTGCTTACGGACCGCGGCCGCTCTTTCCTGTCCAAAGTTGTCGATGACCTCCTTCGATCGTGTGCTACAGCCCATAAGCTATCTACCGCCTACCACCCACAAACTAATGGCCTAACTGAACGTCTCAACCGCACGCTCACAGAGATGCTTTCGATGTACGTCTCCGATGATCATCGAGACTGGGATACAACGTTGGCCTATGTGACCTTCGCATATAACTCCTCTCGACATGACACTGCGGGATTCTCGCCTTTTTATCTTTTATATGGTCGCGACCCCATATTGCCATTTGAAACCACCTTGCCTCTCGTGCCATCTCCTTCCGAGTACGCGCGCGAAGCCATTGATCGGGCTCACATGGCTCGTCAAGTTGCCCAGTCTCGCCTCACCAGGTCACAGGATATGCAAAAAGCCCGCTACGACCACCGGCATCGAAATATAACGTTTGCCCCAGGTGACCACGTGCTCCTCTGGTCACCGTGTCGTCGTGTAGGTCTCTCCGAAAAACTTTTGTCCCGATACGCCGGACCCTACCTAGTCTTACGTCAAGTTAGCGACGTAACCTACGAGATAGCGCCATTGCACTCCAATACGTCACCAAGTTCGTCACTAGTTGACATTGTCCATGTTTCGCGCTTGAAACCCTACTTCTGTCGCACTTCTCCGGACTCTCGCCGAGACGGCGCTCCAACGCCCGGGGGTCCTGCTACGGAGAGGAAGAAAAGGAAGAGGTGCGACTGACAGGCGCGCGACTGGGCCAATCAGCCATTGTGTCTCTTGCCTGTAGTTTTTACTCTGCAAATACATCTCGCTCAGAAGCAACCAACCTCGTAACAATATTATCACAAACTTTTGTCATCCAATAACACCACACACTTTTCACGGCATGGTCATGTTTTTATTACTTCTAATATTTCTACCCGCCTTAGAGCGAGGAATTTTAAGGCCCTTATACAGCCGCTTATCACACTTTTTGTCCATATCTCGTTTAAGATGAACTTGCGCTTTTTGGCCATGAAATGGCTCTTGCGCCATAAAACATCAAGCATCATCATCATGATTACTGGTCCTTTTGCCTAAGGCCACATCTGGCATGAGGCGCAAAACTTGAACTATTATCAGCAAAATTAATGTTCTTTTCTTGTGAAAGGCATTCTATGCTTTTTTTGTCAACTGATGAAGTATGTAACTTTGTCGCATGTGCCGCAGTGTATCACTTTAACTTAGCCCGTGAACCGAGCCATACCTTCATAGGTAGGCTAGCTTCATAAAGCTACCTATACAAAGTACATGACGTCAACCACGCTCTTTACTATTGTTGAGTTGGTCAGCGTCGTTTCACTTTGCGTACTGCAACTTCTTACGTGTTGTAGAAATGGCGCAGTTGTCGAAGATGCCGACGGAGCGATCCACATATCAAAAGAGTGGCTGCATAAACGTTGTGGTTTCTTAGCACGTCATAACAGCCTTCTTTGGAACCATGCTCACGTACGAATACAAAAGAATACGTCGAGAACCTATAGACAATTTTGCACAGGATGCATGGGAGCCAGAAAATTGAACAGGTGAACAATTATAATCACATTTTGGTATATATTGACGTGAAATAATGAGGTGACGAAAGGTCTAATGCACCAACTCAACCTTTTTCATGCGTACAGGTCGAACTGTACGTTTAGTTTTTAAAAATACAAAAGGGCAAGGGTACTCTTTTGCAGTACCCATCCATAAAAAAGTTTGCATAGATTAGACACGCAGTTTGTTAGAGTGTCGTGAGTAAACCAAAGAGAGGAAGCATGTCCTAGTTTCACCATCAGATTATTTCTTTCTTGGAACGCGATGATTTATACCTTGCAGATTGTTTCGTCTACTAAGGTTTGGCAGCACTTTTCGCAAAGCAAAATGCTGTGAATTTGCTTACACACTTTTAATAAAACTGTGGGGCTTCGAATTGGTCTATCTTTGGTTAAAAAACGTTTGGTGCAGCTGTTCGCAAGAATTTGTTTCTTCCACTCGGCCTTTGAAATCTTTGTGCGTTTTTGACTTTTCCATTAAAATGGAAACTAAACTATGACTTATAAGTCACAGTTTAGTTCTGGCACCAATAGCCACTCGACAACTAACTAAAACATGCTTAGAATGACAGAGAGCTGAACTAGCTAAACTATTTTAGAGGCATTCATGTAAAATGAAAAAAAAATCCGCAGATATCACACCACGTAGGATTCGGTTTCAAGCGAAGGAGTCATTGAGTATTTGTCTACACGCAATTATTGTCTAAAAAGGGTTGTGACTCTAGCGAGATCGATGTATTTTTGTAAAGGTTGTAGTTGACATCGTGTCTTGCCCGAAACATCAACTACACTGTCATTTGAAAGGTAATTCATGGTCTGACGTAGCGCCAGCACTCACGTTGGAACAGGGACATTACTGTTAGTGAACCGAAGTGCACTCTATAGAGCGATGATGTGAATGCCATTCGTCTGGTTGGCGTATCCGTGCTGTGACCCTGATGCTTGTTCTTTGCATTGACCTGGTCAACAATGTCGGTTTTTGTTCACGCGCCCAAAATTATATTACCAAGGTACGTCCTCCCCGTTCCTGGGTACTTATTAACTGTCAGCCACTTGTGACACATACCCGCCTACGGCAGTCTGAGATGTACGGGTCTGTGTCATGTTTCAAGAGGAATTGGTTTGACGACGTAAGTGACTGGATTCTCATGTAACTAATATCATGGCCTCTCAGTCATAGATAGATAGATAGACAGATATATATATATATATATATATATATATATATATAGATAGATAGATAGATAGATAGATAGATAGATAGATAGATAGATAGATAGATAGATAGATAGACAGGTAGGTAGGTAGGTAGGTAGGTAAGTAGGTAGATAGGTAGGTAGTTAGGTAGGTAGGTAGGTAGGTAGGTAGGTAGGGTATATTTTTAAAAGCGATTGATTGATGCGTCCCAAAACCACCATATGACTATAAGAGACGCCGCAGTGGAGGGCTCCGAAAATTTTGACCACCTTGGGTTCTTTAACGTGCACCTAAATCTGAGCACACGGGCCGACATTTCCGCCTCCATCGGAAATGCAGCCGGGATTCGATCCCGTGAACTGTGGGTCAGCAGCTGAGTACCTTAGCTACTAGACCACCGCGGCGTAGTATTCTGAAAAGCGGTGTAGCCATGTCATGCATCAAGCATTGTCTCACTAAGTCATGTGAGCACAAAAAAGTTTCAGCTTTCGCGCACAGGTTACGCTTCTTTTAGGTGTATGCTACCTTCCTGTTGCAGTGGCCATTGTCGCTGACTGTTGTGGGGGTTCCCGAGAAAAAGCAACTAAATACGTTACTGTTTGTGCTACAAAAAATAACGCGTTACAGTTACAGTTACCGAAAAAGTAAAGTGCAAATGCAGTACATCAAAGTGTGTCGCTAAACTCGGTAATTTTAAAAAAGTGTGGGTAGGTCGATAAAGCGGGAAAGCGGGAATAATTTTGTCCTACCCAAAAACGTTTTTAAAAAAACTTGAGCCGCTGTCCATCATCACCTTGTTGACCTTTCCGTGAAGCTCAAATTTACTGGGCGCCTAATTTCAAGCGTAGATAGCAGGCTTTCTTAAGTTACACAAAAGTCCCCTTAATTCGGCGGCAGGCTAAGGCTGCAACCTTTAGGTATCAAGTTACTGCATTGCGCCATAAAGAAGTCACTCCTGAAAAAAAAATTCCATGCATCTCAACGAAGTAAATCCTGATGAGTCCGTAAGTCTAAAAAAAACTTTTTCGCTTATGCTTTCTAACACCAAAGCTCTCGTAATGGGTGCTCTTCTTGGCGCCGTTTGATATAGTACATTCGAATACAATGTATGAGTGGTTGCAAAGCAGCAAGAACATTTTTATTGAACTGGAGTAGAAAGCATCAGTTAAGTTTATCAAGAGCTTCCTTCGAATAGTTCGTGAAGAGGGAGTAAAAGAATTTCTTACATCGTTCACACATGCCATTTGTAAATATTGAAATGGTGTATGAGCGATACTGTTTTGGAATACTCATTAGTAGACGTGAGAATAAACAAGAATCTACGTAAGGGCGGTAGTAATGCTGAAGAGGAGTGAAAAGGACCATATGTCGGCAAACATGAGTAGAACGTACTCAGACTCACTCAAGAAATATATCTTGTGCTTTGAATTCGCTCGGTCTCAGACAAACCAAAGTTTTCCCGAGTGGGACTCACTCGGACTTACACACTAAAGTTATCGTCAACCGGGCTCACTCGGACTGACACTCACCTAAATATTACTCACCCAGACTATACCTCAGACTCAGACTCATGATTTCATATGAGTCTGAGTGAGTTCGAGAGAGTTGACTCATGATCCTCGCCAGCCTATGATCCCTGACAACCTATTTTTGAAACCTTCAACCTCCTTTCGTACATTCCAATCATCGGTAGTTTATAATAACATGGAGATATTTCCACCGTTCTCTCACGCCCAGGTACCTGGAGCCCAATTTCATCGACCGCAACTTTCCGACACTCCGCAAGAGACTGTCCGGGGATGCCAGAGCAGACACTAACGACGATGAAGGAGACAAGGTTGTCATTTATGACGTAGACGTCAAGCAGTTCCGACCCGACGATGTACACGTCAGAGTGAAGGATGGCAACATATCTGTGGCGGGGCGAACTGAGAAAGTTATCAGCGGTGGAGGTAAATACAGCAAAGAAGAACTACTCGGAGGCCTCCTGATTCCCACGGATATTGATGCCAATGACGTCACGCTGGAGAGGACTCCCGAGCTACGACTGAAGATCTCGAGACCCGATTCGCGGCCAGCGTCTACCATGTTGTCAGCTTCCACCTGGACCCATTCGTCGGCAGAAAACTCGCTTGCCGAGAGGTGAAGTGGCTGTGTCATCTTGAGATAGGTACGCGATGAGCCCGAGGTGGCAGCTGGGTCTGCACAGCGTTGTCCATTGGAGAGAAGCCACACTAACCCCGGAACGAGTTTGCACCTGCTCTCACGGCACATTAGTGAAGACTCGAGAGGACACAAATTCCTCTTTTCGTCATACGTGCTTTTTGCGGTGACTCATGCTACTAGGAAATTTTATGTACTCCTCTAGGACAGGTCATCAGGCCTTCCACACAGACACTCGTCTCTTGGTAAATTGTAGAGTTCCCCTACCTGATATATTATGCCTGAGTTGTTATCGCTATAGTATAGCTGTAGTGAACATTCCCCTACTGTTTTCACTATTCGCGCATTTTGAAAGTGGTCGTTTCTCCTGCTGTTGAAAGGTTTTGGGTGAGCTTATGAAGGACCAAGAATGCGTTCGACCTGCTTTTAATGTGAGCTTGTTCCTGTTTTTTGAATAAAAATGTCGTTGTTACTTTGCTTACTTTTGCAGCCCTGAAATGAATGAAAAACACTGGCGGAAATGAACGGGTATCGGATTTAATTTCCCGAATATAAGCTGTATTTGAACAACTTTTTATGCTATGGATGTTTAATATTCACAGTGACCATAATTGAGAATGCCTACTGTTGATAACTTTATAAAGTTTTTGTTCATGGGGCGACAGTGATATTTCACTGTGCATCCGTGGAGAAATCTACCACAACACGAGTAAATGAATACATTTTTATTCCAGCGAAGCCGTAAAGTGCTACGAAGAGAATGTACTAACCTAAATAAATTTAGAGTGGCAGCTACTTCAACAGAAACGCCATGTTGTGATTATCCGGAGCATTGCGACGCGTGCTATGACAAACTCCTTCAACATAATGTCGGTGTTGGCCAACGAAAGCTTATTATTTTTGCACTTTTACGTGCGTGTGTAACACGCCAGCTTAAAAGACGGGCATCTCCACGAAGTGAATAAGGACGAGTGGTGCAGCGACGTCCTAAGGTCTATATTGTCTACGTTGAAGTCGCCGACTCTGGATAAAAGGTTGTGCTTGTAGGCCTTTACAGTGTTTTGTCACAGTTATACGCTTAAATTGATGGGTAATTAAAAGCCAGTACTATTATGGTACTTTTATACGAGTGCCGACACCGCTACATCGATGGATGTTGAACAAGCCTAGGCCCTAAAACAACCAGCGTCCGTGTCAAAGACCAGGATCCAGTATTGTTCTCACATGGACAAATGTCGCTCACTGGGGAGGTGGCACTTACTTCGAGGTACCTTCAGTCATACAGACATCTATTGGCGTCGTATAAAACACGTGTTTGACGGTGTTTTTGAAATTTGAGGTTGTAAAAAATTTGAACTGGAGCGAAAACTCCCGGCTTCACTGGCCGTCACTCTTTACAAACAATTGGAAGAGCCTTTTAGTCCATGATATGGAAGTTTTGCCACAAACAAAGAGTAGTCCTCTAGCATTGTAAATTCATTCCATCGCTTGACTCAAACATGATAATGAGCACTGGGCTATGTCCACTTATTAGCGCATAAGACAAGCGCTGCCAACGTGGTAGTAAATAGCAGTCTACAACAAACCATAATCGAGACGCGATGATACTGCAATTAAGGTTTTGGTGCCTGTACTACGAACAATCCATTGAAGTTGTTTCAGATACTATTTTTGTGTGGAGCATCGCGTGTTCCAATCCTGCTCAGCGAAAATAGGCTGGCTCCGGTCACGCATATAGAGACAACAGACGACCGTAGTTGGATTTTATAACCTGAGCACATTCTTCCATCCTTTTGCCTGTGCGTTTACATCCTAGACGCAAATCACTGATGTGAGAAATCGGGACATGAAATAATGATACTGATTTGGAGACATTTTATTGCCACCTAGCAGCACAAATCAATGCAGAGAAAGCTTGGTGAAGTCAAGGAAGCATCGTAAAATGAAATCTTTTCTACGAATGATGTTGCGGCATCAACCGATTTTATAGGCCATGAAGGGCCGTCAACGCAGTGCTATCATTAGAGTGAGGAGGCCCGTCAGCGTAGTGTAATCGTCACCACAGTGATGGGGCCTTTCAGCGCAGTACTTTTGGTAAAGTTAGGGGGCCCGCAAGTGTAGTGTAGTCGTGATTACGGTGACGTGGCCGATCAGTGTAGTGAGATCGTAACAGTCAGGAGGCCCGTCATAGTAGGAATGTTTCTATGACGACGGGAACCGTCACCGTAAAGCAATGACTAAGGTGAGGGGGTGCGACACCGTAATATAAGAGTAAAAATGAGGGGGTCTGTTACCTTCAATTTGTTGTTGTTTGAGACGCCATCACCCAGCTGTTTTGGTGGCGTAGTGGGGTGATGACGCGCAGTTGGGAAGTGGTCGGGCCTCACGTCGTCATTTCAAACTCCTATTAGTATAATTTTATTTTCAGGTTATGCTTCAATCTTAACGTTACATCTCTGAAGGAGCCGCAAGTGTACTTATTTGCAAGAAAACAATGCGGATGTTTGTGCCAGTTGGTGAACAGCCCTGCCGTGTTAATCTTTCGAGGCGTCGTGTACGTGTGCCTTCTTGGTGTGCAACATGCGTTGTTGGTGTGTGACTTCAGTTCGAATAGCAATGACCAAGTAAATTTTTCTCTTCCTTTTCTGCTTTCAATGGTGTTTTTGTATTGTTGCCTATTTTAAAGAGAGAATCATGTTGGGCAATATTCCACAATGAAGCGTTGGGAGAAGCCGCTGGCCAGCGAGAACCTAGACGATCAATGGAGTTGCTGTTCTCGCTGACGGACCCGGCTCGCTGAGTAACAGCCTCCACGGAGCCTTTGTCTGACCTTCCCCACCGCGAAATGTACTGAAGTACTGCTTAGGTTAGTAAATTTTCACCACCACAATTGAAACCACGTATAGGGACACTACCGCATCAAGGCAATTAGTACAACCGCAATGCTGTAATAGTGCGGTGGTGTGTTTTAACACAACTCTGCTTATAGTGAAGGGCCCCAAGGTAGTGCGGCTGTTTGTGCTCTTACTGAACTGATTGGATATCTTTTTATTGTTCTCTATTCTAAGAACTAGTATGAAATTGTGAGAAACTAAAATAGTCTGGTAGAATCTGATAGCCTACCAGTAACGACCGGGGAAGTAAGGACAGCCCTAGAAAGAATACAAAAAGGCAAAGCCCCTGGTGAGGATAAAGTAACAACGAATCTCCAGAAAGATGGTGGAGAAATTGTGATAGAAAAATGAGCCACCTTATACACAAAGAATCTCTTGACGGAAAGGGTACCAGAATCTTGGAAGAACACCAACATCATCTTAGTTCATAAGAAAGGAGACGTCAAGGACGTGAAAAATAACAGGCCGATAAGCTTACTCTCTGTTCTCCACAAACTATTTACAAAAATAATAGCTAATAGAATTAAGACGATATTAGAGTTTAATCAGCCAAAGGACTGAGCAGGATTTCGTACCGGTGACTCTACAATAGACCATATTCATACTTTCAATCAGGTAATAAAGAAATGCGCTAAATACAGTCAGTCCTTATATATAGCTTTTATAGATTACGAGAAGGTGTTTGTCTCAGTTGAGACTTCAGCAGTAATGCAGGCACTACACTCTAAGGCAAAATTACTCGAAAAAGGAGTAACGGAGCCCAATTGGCACGCGCGATGAACGAATAGACCACTGAGGAGCAACCACAGAGGGAAGTGTGCGGTCCGAAACCATTAGTCTCCCCTGGGATGCACCGCCCAAGCATTGCAGGCAGTGCGAGAAGCGTTGCCAAGGTGACCACCCGTCCATCTTCACAAAACACATGTCCTTCTCCTCTTATGCTGGCTCAGTCTTTCCCCGTATTTTGCCCGTTACGGTTTGTTGTACGTCGCGCTCGGAGTGCTCGACCACGGTCGCCTGGATTCGACGATCTGAAAATGACGACGTGGTGCTTGTGTATACGCTCGAATGAGCGTGGGCTGCTGCTTTTGCGTTTCGCTGCACCCATGAAGTCTGGAGATGCCTCGATACGTCGCCATGCTGCGCTGTATATCTCTGGCTTCAAGATAGTCACAACAGACACACGACAGCAACAGTTGGGGAGGCCAATATGGCGGCCGAGAAGTCAACAGGTCTATCGGATATTATACTCAAGTCCGACTCAGGGCATAAAACAGCGCTGGATTCTAAGGCAAGTAGTTATCATTCTTTATTCTACTCTACTTGTCGCGTGTGCGATACGGATCGCGCTTGCCGGCAACGGGCTAGGTCATGTTGTATATCGCACGCATGAAATGCATCGCGAACGTCAGCTTCGGCGTCTGCAGTTCGCCTGTGCTTTGCGTCCACCTGGAAATTGGCCGCCATTGCCGTTGGCCTCCCGTACGCTCGCTCATCGAGTGCTCGCCTGTGCTTTGCGTCCACCTGGAAATTGGCCGCCATTGCTGTTGGCCTCCCGTACGCTCGCTCATCGAGTGCTCGCCTGTATTCGCCGCCGCGATGAGCTCCGGGTTGACGATATTTGGCTGAGACCTCGTCGCTGTGTTGGCATTTGTCGAAAACACGTCCGCTGACCGCGGCGGCGGACTCGCTATTGCGCGCTGCACCCGCTCGAGTTTGTGGAAAAGGGCCACATTACCGTCGATTTCTTCGGCGCTAGCTCCAAACCAGCTCGGCGCTGTTTATGGTGGCGGCAAAGCGTACGCTCGCTTTCCTGTTCGAAGTTCGCTGGCGGCAGACACTCCGCGTGCAATGCCATGTTTGGTCTCGCGTTCGCTTGCTCGACCTGAACGACGTCGCTCCTTCAGGACTATTTTTGTCATATTTTACCGCTTTTTTTATATTACCATGATTGTATTTATCATATGCGTGCATCTTCATGTTCTGCCACGTGTGTCTAACTATTTTTATTATATTATTGTATGTGCAGCCGTGGGAACACAACAGGCAGAAGGCTGCATGCGCTGGCGTCTGCAATGCCTGTCATCTATCGCTTCCGTCGGAGGAGCTCCCCAAGGAGTAAACAAGATTTGACAACGAGACTGGGCTTGTACACTTCATAAGGAATTCATTTAGCAGAATGAAGAAAATTCATGTGTATGTAGAAAAATAAAAGATTTCGATGTCTCACTTTTCTCTTTCGTTGTTACCATGACTGCGAAAGCAGTTACACATATGCGGCTAACTACTTTTTCGCGTGTTCTTTTCTGCACAATTCGTTGCTCACTGCGCAGAAAAACAGGCGAAAAAAGTATTAGGCCTGGCGGAAAATAAACAAAAAAACATGTTTGAATTGGGGAGAAAAAGTTCGTCAGATTGAAGTATTTCAGTGGATCAACCATTCATCCGGCAAGGTGCAACTGTGAGGACTAACGGTTGCCCGGTAAGGTGTAAATTTGGGAATTAACAGTTGCTCTATAAGGTGCAATTGTGAGGACTAAATGTTAGCCCCTTGAGGTGAATTGTGGGACTAATGGTTACTCACTAA